CCTCCCAAGTAGCTGGGACTACAGGCGCCCGCCACAGCGCCCGGCCATTTTTGCAACCATCATTGTTGTTTGGCGGGCCCGGGCTGGGGATTCGAACCCGCCACCTTAGGTGTATGTGGCTGGCGCCTTAGCCGCTTGAGCCACGGGCGCCGAGCCTATTTTATAAGTTTTAAGTGACACAGGAACCCCCGTAAGGAAATGAAGACCCAAAGAAGTAGAGTCAATCACTCATATACTGAATTGGACAAAGAAAGATTAAGTTGTGCAAAAGCAACTAAACATATGGAGAGACTTAAACGATTAGAGTTATTTTAACAAGGTCCGTATCAGTGTATAGAATTCTCTTGCTCTCAACTTCCTGTTTTTGATGTCAAGAATATTGTTTTTGTTTTTCTTGTAACATAAGAAAGACATCTTTCAACATGAGAATTTCATCTGCCACTTTTAAGGAATAGAAGGAAGGTCAGAATGATCTAGCACCTGCTGTTTTTCAAGTGTTTTTAACTTAAAATAGTCAACATGCTAGTCTGGTATATTTTTAATTCTTTCACTGGTATATTAAGGACTTAGAAAATGTTTATAAATTACTTCAAAACTATGAGGGAAAATACGGATTTTACCCCTTTAGCGTATTGTATCTTTTTTTAATTCCACAAATTAGATGTCATTATCATATGGTCAGTGATTTACCACACAATTATTATTATTTTTACTCAGCATTTTTTCTTGCAACTTATATATTCCATTTGGGATCATTTTCCTTTTAGAATTTCCTTTTACAAGGCTATGTTGATGGAAAAGCTTTTTTCTTTATTTCAAACCTCAGGCTCACATAAAGTAGAGTTGATCAATCATACTGCATTCTTACCTTTTTTTTCCCCCTTCTTGCTTTCCACTGGATAGATTGAGTTTTCTTCTGATGATTTCAAAGTTTGCCTTCTGTTTTTGTTCATCTGATGGTTGTATTTTAAGAGTTTTCTTTGCCTTCTTTCAGCATTTTTAGTTGTTCTAAGTAAGAGGGTTGTCCCAAGGCTCTAACCTGCCCTACTGCAAGAAATAGAACAGGCATCCTCAAACTACGGCCCGCGGGCCACATGCAGCCTGCCTAGGACATTTATCCGGCCCACCAAGGGATTTTGCCGCCGCTGCCTGTCCTGCTTAGCAGCCGCAGCCAACTCATCCCAGGGCCTTCAGTTCGGCCCTCCAGCGGTCTGAGGGACAGTGAACTGGCCTCCTGTTTAAAAAGTTTGAGGACCCCTGAAGTAGAAGATATTGTATGTTTTGCTGCCAGCATGTGGGTTTTTTTTTTTTTT